TAGCATCTCAGAAGGAAAAAAAAGAACAGCCCCAACAAAGATATCTCAATTTGATCTGAATCAAAGCCTTGCAGTAGCACAAAATGAATCAAATATAGCATGCAATATCCAGAGTTGAAGGATTCAGTTCTATGAATCTGAAGAACAGTGGCTGAAATTAAAAGAAATACATATCCAGATTTTCTCCAATGACAGAATTCATTGCTGAAACGAAGAACAAAATGAAATAAGAGAACCCAAATGACTAGAATTAGAACTCATTAATGAGGCAGTTGAGATATAGGAACAATAAAGGCAAATACCTTTAGGAACATAGACATTTCGCTTCCAGTAATAGATGAAGAAGCACCAAAGAAAGCCAGAGAAGAAGTAAATTAGGAATCCACCAATGCAGTTTCTAAGCCATGTTTGAAGAATATGAGGAAATGGGTCCAAAACAAAGTCAGGAAAAATGGTTCCCAAAACAATGCGGTTGTACAAACTAGTCTCCTCCAGAAAGAGCTCCAAATATGGCGGTCTGCCGCCCATGGCCGTCGGAATCAGCCCAACTCCGGCGAGTGGAAAAACCAGAGGAAAAACAGTGAAATCAAAGGCAGAGGAAGATAGATAGAGACTGAGTTGGAATCGAAAAGGGTGTGAGAATTTATAACCGAAAAAGTGGCTGTGCCGCTTAGATTGATGAAAGAAAGATCAGTTGGTAAACACTCTGCCAATGGGTAGGACCGGACCAGACCAGCCAGACCAGCCAGACCAAACCAGAGCCGACCCTTTATTTGAAATGGATGTCCCATTTGTGTGCCTTCAAAATTCACTCGCTAATTCAACCTTTTTCAGCTCTTTTTTATACGGTAATTTGTGGGTTTCCTTTTTCAGGGGACTCGCTTTTGTTTTTTCGTCTTGTTTCGCTGTTGCGCCACACTGTGGGCGGCTGCCACCCATTGTCTGAGCTATTACAAATTATTACTCGAAATGGGTATGTGGGATTTTCGATTTACTTCAAATTAAACCCTTTTTCTTTAGTGTTTGTGTTTATTTTTTGTTCTTATTTGAGGAACAACAACAAAAAAAAGCGTTTTTTGTTTGGAGGATTTTGGAAAGTCAAACTTGGATCGAAAGAAAACGATAAAACAGGCGCTGGAACTTGAAGGGTTTGGAAGTCCACATGTTAACGTCAAATCCTTGCAGAAATTTAGGAGAAAAAAATAAGAACGATCAAGAAAGAACACGAAAATCCCACACAAAGTCTTGTCATTGTCACTTGCATCCTAAGTAAAATTGGATAAACCTACAAATTTTATATTAACGAAATTCGTGCTCCTTACTTTTTCGTTGATTTTCAGCAATGTGGGTGTATACTATGTCATTAGTCCTAGAGGGCACGTTAACGAGTTCACTAGTGGGTTCATGTTCATGAACACATGCGTGAACTGTGTATAGAGAAATATTATACTTCCATCCCTATTCAAAAGAGAAAGTAGAGTCCTAAGAACAGTCATGAAAATTAAATTCCACCAATTATGAAACATATTACATATGAATGCATTTTCCTACTCCAACACTAAGATCACTTACTCGAGTATTGAATGTTGTTCACAATTTGATTAAACAGCAACACTAACTCCTTTTGGGTTAGATGTAGTTTTAATGTGATTAGGTAAAATTTCTCGATCAATATTAAGATGGTTTTGACAAAGGTTAAAAAGTGTTTAGGTAAAACTTCTCCATCAATATCAAGGTAGTTTTGCATATGACAAAGATATTCCGAAAGAGATGTCGTATTTTAAAATTAATAATTTTCGATACTTAATAACCCTATGCTACTACCGCCTATTATCAGAGACCATTATCCATACATCACTCACCATCGGCGGCCATCACACACCTATCGCCAGTAACCAGTTTCAATCAACATCCTTGTATGACCACCATCATTGACCATTTCAGACGACCACCTCTAGTAGTAATCCGTTGAGATGGTTGTCAATAGTAGGTGCATAGTGAGGAGAAGGAGCGCACAGAGGTCGGTTGTAGTGTTTTAAATACAAGTTATGCAAACTATGGTAATTTGTCTAAAATTTTAATATTCAAGAATTAAATAAGCATTTGACTCCTAACAAAATTTATATTTAGTTATATAAAATTAAGCGATCACAGAAATTAGATAATTATTCGATAATGTACAAAATTATCGACAATAATCAGAATTAATTTTTTTTTCGCGAATTAAAAATTTAGAGAATAAAAAGTGAAACAAAATAAATTTAATATATACACTAAACAAATATTTTATACGAAGCTTAAAGATAAACTTTGATTAATTTGGTTTGAGGGTGACATGATGATTTTTATTATTAATTTTTATGACATGATGAAATGCCATAACATTTTAATTAATAATTTAAGTGGCAATAAATAAAGAAATAAAGAGGAAAAAAAAAAAAAAAAAAAAAAGGTTAAAGCCAGCTTGTCTCTGATTGGTCAAAAACGCAACTATTATTGGATCCATAATCCTTCGAATCACATTGGATGTGCAAATCAAAAGGCATCCCCCACCAACCAAATTATTTTTAATTTTAGTTCTTAAAAATTAAATTTTTTATTCTCTAAAATTTGCAAATATTTTAATTTAATCACCTACCTTTACATCAAATACAACAATGCATGTATAACCTACAATCTATTTTAATCTATTTGTATGGAGTAATGTTTATATGGACTAATGTTTTGAACTATAGACCCATGAGATCCCACGTCGGTTGGAGAGGATTACGAAATATTTTTTAGAGGGTGTAGACACGTCTCCCTAACAGACGCATTTTAAAACTGTTAAGTTGATGATGATGATACGTTATGATAATATCTCTACCTGATGGCAACCATCTCTAAAAGAGACGGATAATATCTACTACTGGTGGACTTTGGGTTGTTACAAATGGTATCAGACACCAGATGGTGTGCCAGCAAGTACAATGGACTACCAAGGGGGTGGATTATGAGATTTCACATCGGTTAGAGAAGGGAACGAATTATTTCTTACAAATGTGTGGAAATCTCTCTTTCGTAGATGCGTTTTGAACTATAGGCCAAAATGGACTATATATCTATTAGTAGTAGGCTTGGGCTAATACAATGTCGCAGGTCACAACATAAGCATAGGGATCGTAATAGCGTCAAAACGTTGTACTTTAAGTAAAATCTCTTTCTTGTTTGTAGCAATCAAAGTAAACTCACGTGTACGTACACCTTGTCGCACTATTAAGATAAGGGAATGTCTCAATGGTCTCTATACGGTTTTTCTAATTGTAATCAAGATAGTGTCTCAATCATAGACGATTTCTCGATATTTTAGCTAGTTTTTACCAATGTTGAGATGCTACAAATAATATCTCAGCGATATCTCTTTTGGGTCTCGTTCACCTCTTAACATTTACGTAGTTTTGGTTGGATTGTTTTGTCCAAATTAATTGATTTTTATTAAAATTATATAAATTTAAAATAATATTTTATGAATTAGAAGATTAGAAGTTCTTCCATGGAGGGCTAAAATATTAGTTTTTTTTTTAAAATTAAATAAAAAAAAAGACAGATACATTTTCTAATTTTTAATTTCAAAAAGTTCAAAGGTATGAACATCAGAAATTAAAAATTAAATAAATGTAATTGATATCATATTTTATTCAATGCCTACAAACGGCAAGAAAAGGACACACTCATTTATTTTTTTCATTTTCCAAAACAGGTTTTTTTATTTTTAATAAAAAAAATAAAATTCTTTTTTGGATAATTTATGACAAAATAATAATTAAATGCCTCCTTTTGGTGTTATTATTATTATTATTATCATCATCATCATTATTATTATTTTCGTTGCCTGTCATGGTAATGGCTGTCAAATGCATGCACTCTCCACTAATAAAGCTTTTGGTTATTTTATTTCTATAGTTTTTGGGCACATGATCGACCCTCAATTTTACATTTTATTTTACTATAATCTTTTCAATCATATGATTTCTACTTTAGTGCTCACATTCTTTATCATCGCTCAACCCAATGCATTATCATTAATTAAGACAGTGTATTCAACTCTTCAACTTCATCATTCCCATAAATAAATTGTTGAGCCTCTGTTCGTAGGGAGAGATTTTCACATTTTTATAAAAAATGTTTTGTTTTCCTCCTAAACCGATGTGGGATCTCATAATCCACCCTCCTTTCAGGGTCCAGCGTTCTCACTGGCACATGTTCCCTTCTTCAATTGATGTGGGACACCCTAATTCACCCCCTTCGGGATTCATCCTCCCCAGTAGAACATTGTTTGGTGTCTACCTCTAATATCATTTGTAACAACACAAGTCCACCACTAGTAGATATCATCTTCTTTGGACTTTTCTTTTCGAACTTCCCTTCAAGGTTTTTAAAACACGTCTACTAATGAGAGATTTTCACTCTCTTATAAAAAATGCTTCGTTCTCCCCCCAACTAATGTGGGATCTCACACGTAGCTTCAAATGAGATGCATGAGAAAACTTCAAACATATTTTTTTACCCCGAAGATAAATTTTCAAAATATAGAATTTAATTTTTCTAACTTTTATCTCATATTTACATCTTATTTTTGTTATCAAATTCTTTAGTGTCAATTTTCGATAAAGCGTATAGTTCAACCACTACATTTTTATGCAAATTTATAGTTATTAGAGCTATCGTCGTCCATGAAGTGAAGACTCGTGTGTGTGAGTGAGGAGGTCAAGTCAATTATACACTCCGAAGTAAAAATAAAAAAGTAAAAGTTCATGAGTATTTTTATTTTTATTTAAAAAAATTTAAGGAGGTTAAATAAAAATTTAAAAGAAATTATCCAAAATTAATATTAAATGTATTTTTTTTAAAATTTTAAAGAAACTTAAAAGTTGAAATATATTTTTTAGATAATAAAAAATGAATAATATTTTTATTAATTTAGCGCGGTTTATTTGTTTATTTATTTATTTATTTTTAATTACCCATTCAGAAACGCCCTCCTTCCCGAATGCTTCCCAGCTGAATTTCCAGAATAGCCTCCGGAACAATACGATAGGGTGTCTTCTTCTTCTACGCCATTAACAGCGTCCACAGCTGCTACTGTTCACCCAAATCAACTCCTCTTTCAACCAAACCATCCAATTTACGCGCAGGTTCAGTTTTTTATCTTCTTCGATTTCCTAAAATTTGCTTCGCTTCGCCCGGAGAAATTCAATGAAATAACACGATTCTGTATGGGTTTTCTCAATTTTGTTTTAGGTTTCAATGTTATATGCAGCATCGGTCCCAAGTGTTTGCTTATTTTCCAATTCGAGCATTGCCCATTTCCCTTCTAGATTCCCAAAGCGTCTGGTTCCGACGAGGCTTTCTGTACGAGCTTCATTGCCAGATAATGATAATGGCGTTAAAGTGGAGTATACTCCTTGGCTTATTGTTGGACTGGGTAACCCAGGGAATAAGTACCATGGGACTCGGCACAATGTAATCAAACGTTCTTTAAGTCATTGTACTGAACTTTTAGAGTGATTTTGGAATGGAATTTGATAGTAGTGCCTCCCAATTAAGCATATTTTTCTAGCACTTTTGGTAGGAAGCCTTACTAGAGTGTTCTTCAAATTTTTCGAAATGAATTTTGTTATGTAGTATTGGCTAGTAGTAGTTTTGTCATTCTAAAAAGTCTTACCAAACTCTTCACTCTTAATGTGCAATGGCACTTAGTGACTCTTGGGGTTGTCCTGTTTAGGTTGGTTTTGACATGATCGATAGCATTGCTCAGGCGCAGGGCATTTTGATGAACACAATACAATCCAAAGCCTTGATTGGAATAGGTTGGCCTTTGTTCCTCCCTTTTTGTTATTGAATTGGATTTCCATATACTGGTAGATTTGAAGTTCGTTGAGTTTTCTTGAATGATCAGTGCAGGTTCAATCGGAGAAGTACCAATTCTGTTGGCAAAGCCTCAGACTTACATGAATTTCTGTGGAGAATCGGTTTGTCACTCGTCTCTTTAATTTTCTTTTGTTCAATACACATGCCATACAGGATAGAGTAGACTGTTGGTTTGTTTATTTCCCTAGTTTAAGTATGAAAACTTAGTTTGAAGCAAAGGATATGATGTTCATTGAGGTTCTTGCATGATCCTAAATTCCTATGGATATTTCTTTTGTTTTCCTTCGAAAAAATGACACAGTATCTATGCTGCAGTTAGAGAGAAACACAAAGTTAACCGACGGTAGGATTTCATAGTGATGATGTTGGGAGATCCCACGTTGGTTGAAGAAGGGAATGAAACATTCCTTATAAGGGTGTGGAAACCTCTCCTTAGTAGGACGCGTTTTAAAACCTTGAAGAGAAAGTCCAACGAGGACAATATCTGCTAGCGTTGGGCTTGGGCCGTTACAAACGGTATCAAAGCCAGACACTAGGCAGTGTGCTAGCGAGGACGCTGGGTCTCCAATGGGGTAGATTGTGAGATCCCACATCGGTTGGAGAGGGGAACAAAGCATTCCTTAGAAGGATGTGGAAACCTTTCCCTAATAGACGCATTTTAAAACTTTGAGGGGAAGTCCTTGAAGGGAAAGCTAAAAGAGGACAATAACGGCTAGCGGTGGACTGAGCCGTTACAGATGTCCTGGAGATACTAAGATTTTTCATTTTTCTAATTACCCGTTGATTGCCCTAGAGATGCGTATTTGCCGTTAGAGGATGCTATAATATTGTAGAATTAGAAACCATCCTGTTCACTGGCTAACTCTATCTTTTAGTCATGAGTGTCCTATGAACCCTGCATATCGATGATCCCTTCTTACGTTTCCAATTGTTAATTTGTCAATTATATATCTTCTATGAATCTTTCATTCATTAGTTGAATCATTTTTTTCATAATATTGAGACAGTTATCTCTTCACCTCACTTTCTGTTTAAATTTGTATAGGTTGGACCTCTTGCTGTACATTATCAAATACCTTTACGTCACATCTTGTTGGTATAAGTTGCAATATCTCTTTGCAATCCTCATTTGTTAGCGTACAAAATGATTAGATTGTAATGGAAGTATCTGTATACACTTACCATTGTAGGTTTATGATGAAATGAGCTTGCCAAATGGCGTTCTTAGGCTCCAGCCAAAGGGAGGCCACGGCCATCATAATGGGTATATCGATGAAATATTAGTTTAGATTTCACCTTGTTCTTTCTTTTTTTCTTTCTAGTTTTAATTCATACTTGCTTTCAATTTTTCTAATCTTGACATGGTTTGGTTATGACTGAAAAGACTCCCTATTAAAAATCATCATGTTTGGAAAACATAAAATTAAAAGTATGTTTGGAAAAAGAGAAAGGAGTATTTAAAGTGCTTCATAAGAAAGTACTTCTTGAAGACTATCGTGCGTTGGCCTAGTGGTAGAGCCATGGGAATAGTAAAGAAATGAGAGGGAATATGTGAGATCCCACATCGGTTGGAGAGAAGAACGAAGCATTCTTTATAAGAGTGTGGAAACCTCCCTCTAGTAGACTCCCCTCAAGGGAAAGCTTAAAGAGGACAATATCTGCTAGCGGTGGGCTTAGGCCATTACAAATGGTATTAGAGATAGACACCAGGTGATGTGCCAGCAAGGAGACTGAGCTCTAGGGAGTGGGGGGACATGAGGCGGTGTGCTAGCAAGGACGCTAGGCTTTGAAAGGGGGTGGATTGTGAGATCCCACATCGGTTCAGGAGGAGAACAAAACATTCTTTATAAGGTGTGGAAACCTCTCCCTAGCAGACGTGTTATAAAAACCATGAGGAGAAGCCCGAAAGGGAAAGTCCAAAGAAGACAATATCTACTAGCGGTGGGCTTGGGCTGTTACACAATGAGTTCAATCCGTGATGGCCACCTTAACCTAGGATCAAACACCGCATGTTTCTCATCCAATACCTCACTTCTTCCCATTGAATACTTGATGCTCGTGTTTCATATTGGTAATTTCTAGTTAGGAGGATGACACATGCATTTTTTTTCTCGTCACTTAACTTGGTAGGCTTTCATTATTGTTGAGAAATTTATGGCAGCATGTGCATAAAAAGCTGTTATTGATTTCTCTAGTTGCACAGGGTGAAGAGTGTAATGGGACATCTGGATGGCCGACGTGAGTTTCCTCGGTTATGCATCGGTACGTATTTTTGTTAACATTAATTCGAAGGTTCGTTAAGTTTCTACTTCAGGAAGTGTAAAAAACTACATTACTCATGTTTTTATCTAGGAATTGGGAACCCACCTGGGACTATGGACATCAAAGCTTTTCTCCTGCAGAAGTTCAGTTCAGTTGAGCGAAAACAGGTGAGTAGTCGCCTTCGTAACTCGGATAGTACTTTTTCCCCTTTTTCGAATTCGGTTTCCATATCATCATATTTAAAATAAACGAATCGGACTACCAAACAGATCGATGCAGCACTAGAACAAGGGGTTGAGGCAGTGAGAACCCTTGCACTGAAAGGATTCAGCAAAGGAGTCGACAGATTCAACTTGACCCAGAAATACAAGTATCACAAGGTTTGATCCTATGGGAAAATAAAATTGTTCGAGTTTTGATCATATGTAATAAGCTAATAGAATGATTGACTGTTCATCGATGTACACGAGAAAATCAGAAATGAAATAGACAAAATGAAGGTCGGGGGTATTGATGATCTTATGAATATGAAATCTTGGTTGCATCGACCGTAAAGATTTGAACCTATAATATTAAGAATAAGGTATATTATCTTAATCTAATTATACTCGAGTTACATATAACTTATATATTAAGATGACACCGTATACCCCACTAGATATATTTTCATTGATAACTTTTTATCAATAATGTTTAATACTAAATTTAGTAGCTCCAAATATTTACTTTAAATTTTCAAATTTTTTTTAAAAGTATTTATTTTTTTTAAAAAAAAGAAAAATTCAAGGTTCCTATCATCTCTGAACCAATCAAGATTCAAACTTTGACCAAAAATTCTGAAAAGTGGGACCCCATCTGAACGAGAAGAACGTTAGAGAAGTATTGTAAAGTAGAATCGAAAGCACAGGATCTTTTCCCTCTCTCTATTTCAGACCGTTGAGGAACCGAGTTACCCTTTTTTCAAACCTCACAAAAGACTTACCTTTTAATCATCTCTTCCCTCTTCACTTCATTCAAACAAAAACACACACAGAGCTTCCTCAACCCTCAACAATGGCGGACAATTTCGATCATCAGTCCCAAACCCATCTCTCCTTTCATTCCATCGACCCCAGATCCCTCCTCCTCCACCAGAACTCCGCCACCCACCACTACTTTCCTCTCCAGCTCACTGCGGAGACTTTTTCCATGGAAAGAGGACCAAGGTACAGAGCCTACGCAGAGCTTAGAGAATCCAAGCTCCGATTGAGAAACGCCATGTACCGTGACGGCGAACAGCCCGAGAAATCCACGCCACCGGCGAAGAAGCAAGTGAGATTCGTGGGTTCAGAGACCGTTCGGAAAAGGTCGGCAACAGTAGCGCAATCGGTGCCGGATTTCTCTGCTGTATTGCGGAAGGAGAACAGAAGACCTCCGCCGGGGCTGTCGCCGGTGATGGAGATGACCCCGCCAGGGAAGACGTGGGGGAAGAATAACATTGGAGGGATATCGGCGAATTCGAGGGGGAGTAAGTCAGCGAGTGCAGGGGAGAAAAGGGGCGGAGGGTTGGCGGCGGCAAGGAAGAGCTACGCTGGATTTGAGGAGCTGAAGGGGTTTTCTACTGCGGCGGCAAACGCCATTAACGGTGAAAACAAGAGAGGAGGAGGTGGAAGGAGAGGGAAGACTGTATTGGGTGTTAGACAGATTTGAAAGAAACAAGAACAAAACTGGTTGGGAAGATTTGCTTTTGTTAATGTTCTTCCACTTTCTTTTAAATTTTGTTGCTTTGATTGGATTTTGAGGGTATTTTTAATTCTTTTATTGTAATGGATAATTTGGATTTGTGAAAATAATGAACGAGGGGAAGAACAATTGCTGCAAAGATTACAGTAACAGATTTGCTTCAATTAAATCTTAATATGATAACCAAAACAAATATTAACAACAATTGCTGCAAAGATTAGGGCGTTTTGTGCAATTAGCAAAGCCTGTTTACAAGGTTAGTCAAGAACAATGAACACTTTTAACCTTAATCCATTTTGTACACAAAAAATTGAAACCAAGACAATCAAAATCACCCATTTCTGCACTCCCAAAGCTCTGTTACAGTGTCCTCAACCAATATTTTAAGTATGTCCCCAGCAATGTCAGCGCCACTCTCCAGTTCTTCAATGCTAAAATCACTCCATTTCCCCACGGAATTACTCATTTCCCATTCTACTATCTCATCGGTCATCATCCCAACAAAATCTCCCCATTTTTTGATCTCCTTCTTGATGTCCTGGATTAATGTTCTTGCGTTTGGAGCTGCTGGGGATGTTCTTATCCAAGTGTTGGGTCTGCAGTAGTAGAGCTGGCTATGTTTCGAGTCGAAGTATTCTATCACGCAGTCGAAAAGGAACCCTCTTTGATGGTTTACCTCCTTGTTGACATCACTGAAGTTCGTCCACGTTTCGCACATGAATGTATCCAGTTCGTCGATGAAAAGGTTGTCTTCTTCCTTGCCAAATAAAATTTTGGCGTTCAGCATAACCTCGTTTGCATGAGCAACCTTACTACCTGCGGTAAGGTTGTAGCTTTCGCTCCCAACATTCCCCTCGCTCAAAGAGTTTGCAGAATCGAAAAGATCGGTTTCGGGATCAGACAGTTGCGACTGATCGATAGAACAATCAACGGATTCGGCTGGCAGTCTACATCCTGTGATGAAAAGGAATGGCATAACTAATTATTCTCAGTCACATGGAGGCAACAAAGAGCAGAGGAGATTTAGCATTTTGGATAAACATAATTTCACTCTTGTGAGTTTTGTATTATCTGATATACCAAACCTAACCTGAGCTCTCATCCATGCTACTGGACGAGAACGAAGCTTCGAGAATGGAACCAGGGCTAAGACGATCTCGCCCATCGGATGTTTTTGTGAGCCTTTCTTCATTCGAATCATCCTGGAAAGGCAGAAATAGATGAAAACATAGTTAGCAACATATAATATATATAGGAAACAATCATAAGATAAATAGAAAGGCTTCTTACACAGGATGTTACATCCATATTGACAGCAGAACCCTCCGAAGAAACTTTCCGAGCAGCTGCTACGGCAGCTATCAGTTCCTGAATGATTATAGAAGCGGGTTTCTTCAATATCAACTCGTCATCTCCTTGAGAAGTTAGTTCCTTTAGTTTTTGTTCCAGGATATCTAAGGCATCTCCTCCTAACAAGGATGGCTTTTGGGAAGACATATTTCTCTCATTTCCCACACTCACATTCATCTCTGTTGAAACTGTAGTATTCGGCCTAACGGGCGAATTAATGATGAACGAAGCAATGTCGTTGTTCCTTTTGCAAACTCTATCAGCAGCGTCTCTACGACCTGATAATCTATTACTGGCACATGGCTGTTTTGTAGGGAGAGTTTTGCGTTCGAGCCTTGAACTTGATCTAGACAATTGATCATACTGAGAGGATCGTTGTTTTGCAGCAGGTGAATCAACAGAAGCTTTGCTTTCGATTCGCCCACTTAAGTGTGTAGTCCTCCTTTTCCTTGGTGAGGTACCTGCCTGAGATGAGAAGTCTTCACCTCCATTCAAAGACCTCTTTTCTAGGCCAAACTTACAATTTTCCACCTTAGCAGGCAGCTTCCCTCTGTTGCAGCCATTAAGATTTCGATTTAATGAAACAAAATTTTTGGTCCCAGCAACAGCATTTGCAGGCGATGTGGTTCTTCTGCTCTGTGGAATACTCGACTTCGACTTCGGTAACATCCTATCCCTGACCGACATCATATGATCTTCAGATCGATTGTGATGCTTGACAATAGATGATTCATTTTTCCCAAGCTTGAATTGTTGGCTGGACGGTCTGGACGATGAGAATGGCGATTCATTGTGCAGAGGCATTCTTTCTACAACAGAATCGACACGGGATATTATACAGCCCTCAGATTCATTATGTTTCATCAGAGGTGTTCTTTGTTGCTGGAGGGGTAATTCAAGGGTTATTGCTTTACTCCTTGATTCCTGCAAACAGGCATTACCATAAGTTGAACTGAGGGGTGGAGGTTTCAGCAATGTACAACAATTTTTACACGACGTATGTTCGATGAAGGTTTTCGACGAATCACAACCTTCCAATAGCACAACTCCAACGTCCCTTGATGTAACCTCATTAGGAGAACAATGCATAGACTTAGGAAGTGTGATAGCAGATTTTGCTCTGTTTGATGCCAGCAGGCCAGGCTCCAATATTTTACTAGCAACGTCAATTAACCGGGATGCTTTCGAGGCGTTCCTCCCCGAGGGAAGCCTTGGACTTTTGGCTGATGAAAGAAACTTTGGAGGAGGAAGACGCTTCCTCGATCGTGACATAACACTCTTATACTGCATTACCTCAGCGCCTATCCGTCTCATTACCTTTCCCTCCTCCAGCCCAGTTTTTCGAAGCTTTAGAGGCCTTGCTTCAATTTTAGCACTTGGGGGGGTTCCCAAATTCATATCCCGAACTATTTTCTTTTCCACATTATCACAAGGATTGGAAGAATCAGTTTTCTTTGGCCTATCTCGATTCATAACAGGCATGGATTCAAGCCCCATGAGTCTTGCAACCAGACCAGGTGCTCTCATTTCATTCTTGTGCTCTCTATCAGTACAGTGGTTTCCATTCTTCATGACATTTGGGAAACCGCCTCTATTTTCATCGGCGATCTATTTCTCGACGACAGCACGATATCCGGGGAAAAGAGCAAACAAATAAGCTAAAGAACACAATAATTTCACAAAGTATCAAAAAGGAAGGGCTGAGAATACAAGTAAATACCAAATGATTCTTGGAAGCCAGCATCTTATCACCTCCTTTGAATTTCTTGGTTGCTTGTTTTGAACGAGCTAGTGAAACATAATAGAATCAAGTTTAAACTTCAAGCTAGAAAGCAAAATGGGAAAATTTAAGCTGAGTATCTGCTAGACAGAGCAAAGAAAGATAACCTGGAGGAAGCAATTTCATGGAGAAGAACTTTTTCTTAGCCAATCTCCTGTTCCAATCAAGGAGCTGGGAGAAAATGCCAATACACCCACCAGGCTTCTGTGTCTTCTTCTCTGAAATAGCTAAACAAGACGATGTTCTTCCTGTATTTTCCATTAATCTCTAACAGAGTCAGAACCCCCAGCTCTTGACTTGATGTTCTTCAGTCTACCAAGAAAATCCCTCCTCAATCTCACAACCCACCTGGCCTAGTTCATACAAGAAGTTCTTCATTCTTCAAACAATCCCAAAAACTCACTCTAACCCTTCAAACAGGAAGGGAGTACAAAAATGGGTATGTAGCTCAATAAAACAGGTTCACAGAAACAATACAAAACAAGCAGCAAATGGAAGATTATGAGGAAAGCAAAAGAAACAAGGTAGAGAAAAAATGGAAAGGCGTACAATAATTGAGAAATGGGACCTGCAGACAAGAAAACAAGGAATCGCAGGAGGGAGTTTCAGAGAAATCAAAAAGTGGACTGAGAATTGAAAGTTAAAGTGGAAGAGGCAGACAGTAGAGGACGACGAAGTGACAAAGCCAAAACCACAAAAAACAGCCCCCAATCGGTAATTCCCCTGAGTCGTTCTGACCCAGTTTCTGAGTCAGGGAGGCACATCATCTTCGACACGCAAAGGCCAGGAAGAAACACAAATTCAGAATCAGCCAACACAATGTTAACAGAGCCAAAGAAACGAGCACAAGGAGAATCAAAGAAGAAAAATGGAAACAGAACAGGAAGCAGCACAAAAACCGCGAAACGGAAACGGAAAAAAGGGATAGAACCGGCCAGAACGACGTCGTGTAACCACGATAACCAAGAAAATGAAGCTGCTCGAGGCGATGGCACTGATCGAGCGAGAGAGAGAGAGAGAGAGGGATTTGCAGAGGCTGCAGGACGTTTGTAAAGGCCACGCGCGGGGAAGTGGAACTACAGAGACGACACGTCGGATAATATTAAAAAGAATAAAAATATACTTTTCAGCTTATTTTAGTATTTATATTTTTTAATTTTCAATTTCATAAATTGTATCCTTTTTCTGAAAGAAGAGGAATTATTTTACCATGGGAATAATAAACATTGCAAAAAAAGCAATAATAATAAATAAATAAGAAAAAGGTTATTTTATCCAAAAGTAAAAAAAAAAAAAAAAAAAAAAAAAAAAAAAAAAAAAAAAAAAAAAAAAA